TAAGTTTTTTATCTGCACAATTTTTTCATGATCAATAAGTTTATTTTTATTAACATTCGCATTAGTGTTTAAAATATTGCCTAAATACGAGTAACATATGTAATATATACCTACCCATACATATGTACATATATGAGAACTTTTAAAATCTATCAAAAATATAATACTGTCATCGAACTTTATATTACTCTTATATTATACAGGATTTCTGAAAAGAAGCCTAATATTCTCACATTCTCATTTTCATTGACAAATACTTAGCTAACTATAGCATTACCATAACTTAATTAATAGCAAAGTATTATGTTTCTTACAAACTTACTTTAGTCGTGTTTACATGAGTGTAGTATAAACATAGCTTTAAGCTACAAAGTCTGTAGTACAGAGCGGCCAAGCGAGTCGGAAGGCAGATAGCATCGCAGTCGACGCGCGGTGCGCTGGCGTGCAACGCGCCATCAAATTAATTACCTCTATATTTTATCCCTTTGTCGGCTACCGCAGCCGAGACCCGCTAACATCGTTTAAATGCAATTTTCGACTTCCACATCGTTATTGCTAACGTTTCACTGATTTCAACTTTTAAATCGCGGCTTCACAAACTTTATGTTGTATTTAATTAAGAACTTGTTTATGAACTTGCTTTTTTATCTGTTCTACCTAAAACGTGCGTCTATTATAAATTCTAATTATATTAGTGTAAGTCTTGTATAAGGCAGTGGTAGCCCAGTGGTAACGCGCTTGCTTGAGAAACCGAGTGAAGCGAGTTTAAATCCCAGGTCTCGCACTTCTGATATTTTCATGTGCGAATCATTTCCAACATGATTACCACTTGTCTTAACGGTAAAGGAAAACGTCGTGAGGAAACCTGCATATCAGAGAACAAGTTTTCGAAAGACATGTGAAGTCCTCCAACCCGCACTTGGCCAGCGTGGTGGACTATGGCCTGATCCCCCTCGTATTGAAGGGAGGCCCTTGCCCAGCAGTGGGACGTTTAAAAGGGCTGAATACAAGCCTTGTATCTTAACAATTAATAATAGCGTTTTTTACCGTAATGTAGTTATTTGATGACTACTCGACCTTTAAAATTGTAAATTTGCGAAATTTTATGTTTCTCCCTGCAAATGGTAAACATATAAATATTTATGAAATAATTCAAGTACAATACGAGTGCTTTTAAATTTAAAAACGTAACCTTTGTGTGTTGTTCCTATATCGGGACATCAGCTGCTTATTATAAATACATATCAGTATATTTTGCTATTTTAACGTGGTATAATAAAATGAATAAGTATATATGTATGTATGTGGTACGATATACATACATACATTCATGAACATAACTACAAAGAACAAAAAGTATGACTATTTTTGCAATCCCGTAAATCCCAAAGATCCGCGAGATGAGGACCTCGATCCTGCAAGCTTGCGGGATTGAGATATTGTTGCGGGATTGGATTCCCTAATCATGATATATTATGATATAATTAAGTGTTCAACTGTTCATCATTTATTTTGATCCTAAAAAGCCAAGTAAAAATATTTTTCACATTTATTTGAAAGATAACAATCGCCTCTCTCTATGTATGAAAGCTATCAGATCAATGCGACTAAGCGTTTTAACATAAACAACCATGAACGTGATGAAAATGTTCTCATTTAATGATGGTGCATGAATGGTTAAGCATTTATGTAGGAAAATCATATAAATAGTATGTTTTATTTCAACATCACATAATGAGAACATTAACTCGCGTTTTTGTAAAACATCTATGGCATGGTACGTTTAGTGTGAAGTTTTATAAGTACATCTCCTACTTCGTATTAGATAAGACTAAAGGTCTCTTCATCACTACTACGCGCGGCTTTTCCAATGTTACATGTATGGGAATGAAAAAAGGCGAATTTATAAATATTGGGTAATCTATACTAATATTATAAAGAGGTAAAGTTTATGAATTGTGAGTTTGTGACGTTGTAAGGGGTAATCTCTGGATCTACTGAACGGATTGAGATGAAATTTGGTAAGAAGATAGTGTGAGACCCTGGGAAGCAGGGTATGAAATTATCAAGATAAATATATCTTTTGATAATTATCGCGATAATTATCAAGATAATTATCAGATAATTATCCGATAATTATCAAACAGATATAAACTTAGCAATCCTTGTGTAGGTATTGGTATTTGACTACTTGCCTATCATAATTTATGTTAGAATAAATTATACACTTTTAACAATCAGGGTAATCTTTTATTATTATTATTCCAAGTTTGTATACCTACAAACTTGGAAATAAAAACTTGGAAATAAATTTAACCAATTATATAGACACTATTTAATTAAATTAAAGATCTCTGCCCACTACACCATCTCATACCATGACCGTGTCATGCAAAAAAATATACTTTGTATTGAAAAGTATGAAACTACGCCCACTAGACCGTTCCATCACCGACCAAGACCGTTCCGTCAGCAACCAACGCCGTCGCGTGCCGTGCACGGAAAGTTAATAATAATTGTCGGCAAGAACATTTTGCCGACATATTAAAATAATATTTTGGCAAAACGATGAGCATACGGGTTATAACAGCGTACGATGACCGTTATAAGCCTGTTATAAAAGTGTTGCCGCTTGACTTCTAATGATAATATATTTTTTTTAATTATATTTTTTTAAAACGGCGTGAACCTAGTAACGTCGCAATCAACTGATTTTATTCTCTTTCTTCCTCGTCTAAAACAATGAATATCATTGTTAATTCTGTTTCGGTTGTTTCCGTCACCAATACGTTCATAGCACGGTCATGGTATGATACGATGTAATGGGCAGACTCCTTAATGAGTGGAATATCATCCTCATCCTCCTCAACTGCATTAACTCAGTTTGCTGATTGAGTTTTTTGAGCTGATTGAGAGAGTTCAGTTAGCTGATCGACAATTTGAAGAGTTACAAATTAAATATTTTCAATTATATTTATCAAAGATAATTATCAACCCATATTTATCATGATAATTATCAATGAAAATTATTGTTTCGAACCCTGCTGGGAAGGACATAGGATACTTTTTATCCCGGAAAACATCCTTTAAGGGAGTGAAAATGGGGATGAAAGTTTGTATTGGGAAGCGAGCTCGGGACTCACCCGAGTCGCTAGTATCAAATAAGTTGATTATTAACTGTTCATAAAAAGCAATAAAATTATTTCTTATCTGTATTATTTATAACCAACTATAGATTAAACTATTAGAGCATACATATTATGTATACACCATAGATGCTAAGCTGCCGAGTAATTTTTATTTTTTACTCAATGTCACGATTAATTCATACTTCGTTAAGATCATTAATTAATATTTAATACTTATTATTTAAGCTTGCCAAGCATGTTAAATAGAAAATGTGTTAATAACGTTATAAAGTCTTGTATACTCACGTTAACAAAAAATAGCGTCCAAAATTGACTATTTGGAGGCATGCCCTGCGGAGGCGGCGGATTTCAAAGGCCCGCCGTGATCAAAGGCGCCGCCATCGAACGGCCGGGCCTTTGATCTTGCCGCGTGAAGTGCAAATTATGTTGTAAAGACAGTGAGTGGCGCGCCCGCCAAGCACTGCTTGGTAATTAATTCAACCCAGTGTTCCGTGCCTGAAGTCTTTAGCCGCTAGCAAGCCTTCTAAGTTAATCTATTCTATTTGAGAAATGTATTAATTGATTTTTATATCATTATCATATAATAAAAATGTGCTAATGTACCAATTTAATAAATTGTATCTATGGTTTATTTTACACTTACTAGGCCTAGCAATATATAGCCTATCATTTATCACTGTACTGAGTGAACTGACGTATATTTATCGTACATTTCGCTTTTTTTATACATTTGTTTTTAATTAGTATACATACATACTATGCTGATATGCTTGGTAGGTAAAATTTACAGCATAATTTTAATTCATTATGTCCTCGGCAACTCCGTGTCACCTTAACAAATATAAATACATTAAGAAGTATACTCGTAGGTACATAACATAACTAATAAAAAATTGTAATTATGTATATTCGTTAAAGTTATATATAACTTATAGTTACTAGTAGTCTTATTAAATAAAAAGAAAAGAAAGTGAGTTATTTTGAAACGACTATTTCTGTTACCGTTATGAAAGACGACGAATCGCATGTTTGGTTTATCCCGAGTCTCTATGCATAGCTCTATGTTTGTAACATTGGGCTTAAATAATATGTCTACTAATATTATAAAGAGGTAAAGTTTGTGAGTTTGTGACGTTGTAGGGGGTAATCTCTGGATCTACTGAAACGATTTAGATGAAATATGGTGAGAAGATAGTTTGTGACACTGGGAAGAACATAGGATACTTTTTATCCTGGAATTCATAGGGATGAAAGTTTGTATGGAGAATCAAGCTAGCGACAAACCCGGGCGAAGCGAGAGTGAGTCGCTAGTTATATAATAATGATAACCAGTAGGTAAATTACTTTATTTTAATTTTTAGTGATACGGCAACGTGAGATTACTTGAATTTACTCACACGAAACGTCTAAAGTGCTAAAATGTTAACATCGGAATTATTGTAGAGTGATATAAGAGTTCAGCAATGTTTGCATAGCAGACAAAATTCTAAATTATATTTATTTAATTATCTCATAACGTCTTACAATTGAAACTTACTTTAGATTAAATAATTTATTCGTCATTACTTTCACAAAAGACAATAGATGAATATAACAATTTAATAATAATAATTTCAAAAACTAGTCAAGTTTATAATGAATCATCACATTTAACTCGTAGAGTATTTCAAAAGTTTTACGCTCGTGACAACGCTCCGTAATCTACTTTATAAAAGTATTAACCGTTAACGACTCAAGGATTAAAATCAAGACCCAAACCGATTTTCCGTGCTGTAGGTACCCATTTATTTTTAAGCCGCTTAGCTCGCTGTCAAATTATGCGGAAGGAATACGTTTCGTAGAACGAAACTAGGATATATCGTCCGAGTAATTTACTGCCATTATGGGATGGTCGTTTGTAAACAATAACCGGTTCAATGAAGTATAGGTTTTCTTTGAGAGTATTTTGCGCGCGCCGACGCCGATCGGCCGGGTCGAGGCAAGGGAACGAATCGAACCGTAGTTACCGTAGATATTGTTGTGTGGACGTGAGCCGGGGGTGAGGCGGGGGTGAGGGGAGAGGGACGATCGAGAATCGAGAGCCGCGTGCGTCGACCCTCGCGGCCACGCGCTTTGATCTCGCCGCGGCCGCCGCGCACGTCGTCGACGACGCCGCAAACGTCCGAACTCCGAAGAGCGTACCTCTCCAGTTACCATGCACACCTGCCAAGCTTTTTATTGTACCGAAATTTACTAAATATTGAAGTGAAACAGATCGATTGCTAAAACCTGAATCATTTTAGATTTCTCATGGTGATAACTTTGTTTCTATGCTTTTACCGATTAATATTTATTTCGTATACGCCTATGATCAATTAAGTGTATACTGTTTAGGTCTATTACATAGAACTTAAATTATTTCCCCAATTTCTAATTAGAAACTGAACATAATATATAAAATATAAATCCAGTTTATAAACATTACCACGACAGCAAAATACATTCAAATAAAATAATAGGTATGTAGTTACGAAATGTGTTTACACTTTACGATTTGAGTTAAAGATAACGTTTCAATGAATTTATTTAAAGGTGTAAATGTAAATAAAAACAAACACGAGACGAGAGACAAGACAACGGATTTAAGCGTTACTCGGAAGCGCTATTTCCGACATTCTAGGAACGTGCATCTTACATGTTAACTCACATAAGCAATTTCTCGTGAAACAGCCAACAATATATTTTTTTGCACATGGATTAATAAAGTATTTGTAATTATTAGCTTTATATTAAAAGTTTACGACGCGATGTATGTAGAGAATAGATTAAGAGAACTCTGTTTTATGTTTTCGAATTTAAGATTACGCATTCTGGGCATTATTTTAATACCGACTAATAAATATAAAATAAACGATTAAGAGGCCAATTATTATACCTAGGTAATCCCTGCGCAGAGATTGAACCGGCAAACTGTTATGCATAGGCCATTCCTTTTTATATTTCTATTATTTAACACTAGCGACTCACCCTCGCTTCACTCGGGTTCGTTCCTAGGTTAGTTTCCCATACAAACTTTCATCACCATTTTCACCCCTTGAAGGATGATTTCCGGGATAAAAAGTATCCTATGTCCTTCCCGAGGTCTCAAACTATCTTCTTACCAAATTTTTAAATTGGTTTGGTACATCCAGAGATTACCCCCTACAACGTCACAAGCTCACAAAACCACAAACTCACAAACTTTACCTCTTTATAATATTAGTATAGATTAACAATTAAACTACTTATTATTTTATAGCACTCTTATTTTTAGGTAGAAAGATATGTTTTAACGATCGGAATCCAAGAAGCAGTTTCCGAATAGGGTTGGCATCGTTAACGAGCTAGTAAAGGGGCTTGGCCGCCTTCCATATTCAAATTACAGGTTTGAATTTGTACTGCATGGCGCGGGCACTACATCACTGCGGAGTTAGTAAGAAAAGGCTACTTTCTAGAAAATTTCTAAGCAACTATTCAATACCTTTTAAAAGGTCATATTATATAAAAAGCTTTAGTATTTAGATTGATCACACATAAAATGTTGTGTACCTAAGTATTTTATATATGAACCTAAATTGAATTTTATGAATATACTAGCATTGCCCGCGGCTCCGCCCGCGTTCAGGTGACCAATAACGAAATTCTTAGGTTTTACAGATTAGTATACTCTTACATTGCAGTTTTTGCATTTTTTTCTCAGAAATAAGCTATTTTTCCGCGGTAAAAAGTATCCTATATATTGACCCGGATAACCAGCTATCACCATACCAAATTTCAACAAAATCCCATCCAGTGGTTTTTCTGTGATGCGGTAACAGACAGACAGACAAAAACTCTAAAAACCATAGATTCGGCCTCTGTATCGATAATAATGTTTATTTCAATAAGATTTTCCAAAAAATATTTAATGTACAGATTAGGACTGGTTGCAATTTTATTATGTGTAGATAGGTATTGCAATAATTTTCGCAGCTTAGTCTTAAAAATCCTTAAAAAGCTCGTGTTACTAACTTTTATAAACGATGACGAAGAGATTCCTACTTCCTAGTAAGCGTCCGTAATCCGTATATTCCAGTCGAGAATTAGTTAACCCGTCAATCAATGTCAATGTTTTCAGCGAATATTGCTATCCTGTGCCTATACATTTTCCGTTAATTTCCGCAAACAAATTGGGGGAGATTGCGAGGGAGTTCGATCAGCCATGCGGAACGTTCAGCTTCGAACATTTAAATTGATTTATATAGAACACGTCCATTATGCCGCACTGCAGATTCGTATATTCATTATATACTTAATAACAATTAATAAAAATTAAATAAATAAATATTAATAACAACTGTAAACTAAATTGTAGAAAATACGTACCTTCTTCAAGAGAGGCAATTAAATAAATTTGGTGTAACGTAATAACTTAACTTTATGTACCTGTAAACTATCTAATTTGTGTGTCGCCGTTGTTTGCATTACCAAAGCTACCCCTGGTGTTACACAGTCGTTTTAAGAGCCGGATCTCTTTATTTATTTTGTTTTCTTTCTCATGACAAGAGCGCCGCTACGCTATCGCTTTTTATCTATCAACTTGTGTAAATAAGTCCGGAATCATTGCTGTAATGTAAATAAAGGAAGAAATAACAGCCTAAAGTAAACTTACGAAGAATTATTATCGTTAGATGTACACAGAAGAAAGAATTATTGTCTATGATTTCCGCACTTAGGGCATAAATTGTTCAAATAAAAGATATTGGAAAATAAATTATTAAAAATAGATACAGGATTATGTATCGAAATTTACATTTATAATCAACTAGCAGGCTTCGCTCGCGCTAAAGCTACAAAAAAACTCTAGAAAGGTAGGTTTCATACAAACTTTCATCTCCTATTTTACTCCCTTATGGGATGAATTTCGAAAAATGCTAAAAAACGTATTTATTAAATTGTATTTAAGAGCATTAATACCAAGTTTCAAGTTATTCTGATCATAAATATTTTTTGGGTTATATTATAACGTGTTTTCCCGTGGGAATTAGATAATCTCCCGCGGTAAAAACTAACCTATGTCACTCCAGCCCTCCAACTATCTTCACACAAAAAATCACGCCAATCCGTCACTCCGTTTCGACGTGAAAGAAGGACAAACAAACAAACAAACAAACAAACACACTTTCACATTTATAATATCAAGTATTCGACAATATGAATATAGATACATGGATAGGTACGTGAGCATATTTCGAGGAAATTTATACAACGTAAGTATGAACTATATCTAATCTCCTTAGTAAAGACTTTAGGATAACCATGACTGTACACAAACAAAAGAATAACATCCGGCAGGGTTTATTTGGATACATACCAGCGCCTTAGGCCGACTATACGGCGCCATGGGGTGAGAACTAGGAAGTAGACCCTTAGTAAGTAATTGAATTTACCTAACTTTTCCATTAAGCCACAAAATTACGACCAAGAGGGTGGATCACATATTATTTTGGCTTTTTTTTTTGCTGATATTTTAAGTGCATTTCGTAAGCACTGCTTACTTAATAATCACATAATATACCTAAGTATGTTAAAAAAACCTGGAGACCACATTTAAATGAAATTTAAAATGGTTCTTTTAAATAATTATTCTACTTATTATTACAGCGTTCTGTAATGGGAATCTCATGAGCGATGTAGGTAATAGGGGAGTAACCCGAGAGATAAAAAGCGAGTCTTTAACAAAAGGTTCAGATTAAGCTACGGAAGCATGCCTGGGGTCCATTCAATGCGAAATTGGAGCGGCTTTCAAAGCAAGCAGACTAGTTTGATTTCCGATTCAATCGATCACATTCGAATGAAGCAATACGATTGCAGCTTTTTGTATTGTTGTTTTGACAAGGTAAGGCTGAGAACAAACGAGTTAGCACGATTCCGTCGAATATCTCATCCTGTTCTTTAGAATTATTAGCGCCGAAGTAACACAATCGCGTCCGGTCGTATGCGTTATAATCAATTCTGTCCAAATATTGACCTTTTTTTAATTTCCTTTCCATTCTTTCGAACGGAAGAGGTGGATTTCTGTCGACGTGTGTAATCAATACGCATCGCACACCCCTTTCTTGCGTTTATGTGAAGCCCTACCTTAGGAATAAGAAGTGTTTGTGATCGATGTGTACTCGACATGCAATAGGGGAATTATTGGTTTCATATGGTTATTCAAAGTACATTTTTCAACATTCTATTTACAAATTGAATGATTTACAATTTAATAATACATACCTATTTTGCTTAATAAAAAGGTAAAGATTTAAAAATGTCAATATAATATTTTTATTAATTTTTGGTCTGCGTGTGTGGTACGTGGTCACATCATTGTATAAATTGAACCAACGTCCATTGGAGAGTGTTTGTCGAACCGACGTATTCTGTGCTTGAATTAAAAATAACTGATGCAACTTTTTTTATAAAAGTTAAATATTTATATTATATACAGATAGTAGTAGTAACAAGCTCGCTTGGGAAACCGAGTGAAGCGGGTTCAAATCCTGGGTCTCGCACCTCTGATATTTTCATGTGCGAATCATTTCTAACATGATTACCACTTGCCTTACGGTGAAGGAAATCATCGTGAGGAAACCTGCATGTCTGAGAGAACCTAGCAAGTTTTCGAAATACATGTGAAGTCCGCCAACCCGCACTTGGCCAGCGTGGTGGACTATGGCCTGATCCTCCTCATATTGAAGGGAGGCCCGTGCCCAGCAGTGGGACGTTAAAAAAAGGGCTGAATACACATTTGCTATTGGAAGGTAGTTCTATTACTCTGTTAAAACTAACTAATTTTTTTATTAAATAAGTAACCTTTTAGATAATAAAAGTATAATCCTTAAGCCACCTGTTTCTTGCTGGTGTTAAATTTTATATTATAACTAGCACTTACCCTCGGTACGTTTTAAGTATAAATAGCTATTGCGAATGTACCTTAGGTCCTAAGGTACACTTCTAAGATTTAGACGATAGACTCATCCTTACGTGTAATATCAAGCGATATTGCTAACTTTTCTGTAGGCCTTTTTAAGTTAAACCTTGTTAAACCTAATACGTTAAACATGTAAATTTCTAAAGATGACTCGAACCAGTTATTGTGTTTTTCCGTGGAAACGAAAGATTTTCCTATAGTAAAAGGTACACTAAATTTTGACTCGAGTTATTTAAGTTATCTTTAAATTTAGTTAAAATTGGTTAAGTATTTTTGCGTGAAACGCACACACACAAACTGACATATAAACAAACATATATACAGACAAACAAACGAAAATGTTAATAACCATTATTTTGGGGTCCATATTCTGTACACAATATGTTACAGTCATAATATTTTATAAATATTTCAATTATGCACTATGTTAGGTCTACTGTTTCATTATATGTAATATCATTAAAAAGTAGGTATTAGGTACACCTACTTAGACTAAAAATATTTACAATTAGTCGGCTAATTAAGAAATCAAACAACTTCCTTACGATCTTGTTCAAAAGATAATATAATATTAATTAGCATTTTATGACGCTTTTTCTTTTTAAGGTTTTTTGTTAAAGTTGAGAAATCAATGCAACAATTCTTAAGCAATTTAATTTTAATATTCATTATTTCAAAGTACTACTTAACAGGTACGTACACGCGTATTTGGTATCCTTGTTAAGAACAATATGTTTTTTTATAATTTGAGTGTATTTGTTCTGGAATTCCAAAAACCTTCTGCACGAATGTTAACAGTCGGTGTATTGTCAAATGAAACGAGGCGAACGATAATGGAATTTCTGGGAACAACCCTTGTGCTAGTGGGGTTCACCGCGTGGGGGTGCGGGGCGGCGGGGGGACGCTCGGTCCATCCATCACTCCGCGGGGGTGCAATTAGACGAAGTATATGTGCTGACACGCCGTGCCGCCGACATGCGTATACCACGTCCATCTCGTGATGCATTTATACCACTAATGAAAATTGTGAGACTCAGACTATGAATATTTAATGCACATCGTAAATTATACGCCATTTATTGTTACAGCTTTTAGTATAAAAGCTTTTATTTCATAGTCGTTACGATTTTTTTTTAATTTTATCATTGCAGTAAATTAAAACTTAATATAGACATAAAAATATATTATGTTTTCGCGTAATGTATGTATAGAATTAAAGAAGTGTTTTTTAGTGTTATCGATTTTGTTTATGATTGATGATTTTCAAAAAGATTAGATTTTTCATTTCGTCTTGCATGTACTGCTGACAAAAGTTAAATATCATGAAAAGCTCCAGGATATTCTTGCTTAATTTACGGAAAGTAGATGGCGATGCGTGATACATCGACAGTGTAGAGGCTGCCGCCGATTATACATCGATAAGACACAAAAACAACTTTTTGATTTATGAAGAAAGCTCGGAAGGCGGCTACTGGGCGCCGCGCCGCATGGACCCTCAATGCACTTAGTGCCGTCATTATACATATTCCTATCGATTTTTCAATCGATACTCTAATTTCAATAAGATTTGTTTATTATTGATAGATAAAAAAAACCGTATTCATACAGAGCAATAATATCGACTAAACACTGGTGTAAAAGTATCTACTTATTTTTCGTTTAAATTTTGAAACATGATTATGTAAATGAAGCAAGCGGCCGTTGTCGTTCAAAGACGCCGACATTTTAGTTACTTAATAGGTTAAGATACCTACGACTATATAAGTAGAATTTACCAACAGTGTATGATACTTTAATATCTACTACTTGGAATTAAAAACTTATTTCATTAAAAAACGAATTGACTAATTAATGCTATTTTGTTGTCAAAAAATTGTAGGTATAATGTTCCTACCTATTGAATAAGTATTAGTAGTACATACTCTCGTATTTCTATGAGTGCGCCGCTTTTATACCTACTTTATACTTACATGGACAAGACTTGTGATTATGTGGATTATGTGGATACCTATGTATTCTATGAATAGGGTAATTAAATGAAAAGGAGTTAAAATCTAAGGCAGCTAACAAGTTGTGTCTGATTGCGACTTTATAAAGTTAATGTACCTAATAATTGCTATCATTGAGTTTAGTAGTAGTAGTAGTCGTTTTTTACATCTTCCATGTATATCATTGCACATGAATAAGTAATATGACGCCGTTTCTTCAATTACAAAAAATATAAATAAAAAAGATGTTGGGCTTTATCCACGTGAAATTGTATGTTTAAAATAAACGTTTAATAAATTAGTTTAATAATAAATAAGTATACTGTGAATACACTAGGAGTACTTGTTCCGGGGCAGAGGCTGACTGCTACCGGACGCGTTGGTGGTTTGCCTAATTTGGGTGTGGTAGGTCAGGCTTAGGCCGCTTATTTTTTGCAGGTTGCCCACTTCGGTTTCTCATTAGCCGGAGAGTCTCCACATAACCACCCTGGGGGGGAAGTCGGGTGGTATCCGTAATAGGATTTCCCAACTATAAAAAAAAAAAAAAAGGAGTACACCAGCCGTAGCGAAACATGTTACAGAATCAAGAAACGATGTGATTTTTTTTTTGGAATCAAGTTATTGCAAACTCCAACTAATAAATACCTAGTTTGAAAAAAATATTTGTGAATTCCTCCAGACACCTGGTAATTCTGTATTATTTTAGGCGGGTATTGGGATCTCATGGCAAGTAACAGTTATACCCTTCAACCCTAAAGCCCATTTCCCAACTGTCATATAAAAGTAAGTATGACAGTCGGTACCTTGTCACCTCACTCCGCACGCCCCGCACTATTGCCTTCTAAAGGCCGTCGTTAGACTACTATATGATGAGCGGGCGATTGCAAATCTGACCTCCTTTTTTAATAGTATTTACAATTTATACTTTTCTTATCGAGTTTAGATGGAATCTACACAAAAATATTACAGATCTTAAATGTTTCTTTGTTTGTATGAATGTGCTTGAGTCCCTGAAATTGTATCGATCCGATTATAATTAAAGATGTTAATGGAATGGAAAGAGAAATATTTTTTCTAAAGTTAATGCATATAGTGAACGAGCTTTTGAGTAAATCGCAATAAACCTTTTTTATGTCTGCATGCGACTCATTATTTAAATGCAGCTCTATTAGGTAATTTTACTTATTTTCTTTTATAGAAACTGAACAGACTCAGAAAACTTTAAATATGAATACAACTTGACTTCAAAGAGGTTCTTTTTAATCTGCGACATAGTTTTTGTACAAGCTAGTAGATTATTTAGTGACTACTCCACTGTTATTATATTCATTTAACTTCATAACACTTTAATCTATTTTATGTTTATGGAGAGTTTATTCCATTGCATTATAGATTTCCTTTAGAGGGTAGTGAGTGGAGGTAAGGAATGTTTTAAAGGACAAATAACAAAAAAGAAACTGGAAAAATAAGCACTTAAATACATAGAATTAATAAGAACACAGCAGTTGTAGAGAAAGTGAAGTATGGTGTACTCTATAGTATAGTATCTGTATAGATACTAGATAGTAGTAATTGTTATTTGTTGTGAAGGTAGTTGAAGGAGTCACTGTAAAGTGTAAATATAATTTCAATTATTATTTACAATTAAAACTTCAAATCAGTTATTATTTAATAATACACTTAATCGATTAAAAATACAGGTGCCTACTTAATATTTATATCATAATTTTTTTATTAAAAATCAGTTAGTTGAAAAAATATTTTTGTTCTATTAGAATTATACAAAAAATTGGACATGATTCCAAAATATAAAAAAAAATTAATAATCATTGGTTGTTTTTTTTACGTTGTAATCAGTAAGCTTAATTTTTATTATGGGAAACTTTTTCATTAAAATAAGAATATTTTAAATAAAACTATCTTTTCGGATTATATCGCAGATTTATTTTAATTTTCGGTTCCCGATGTTTCGAATGCTTTACAGCAATCATGGTCACGGGAGAGACAGGTGTTAGATGTCTCGAAGGTATAGTTGTTACAGGCAGCCTACCCACAATTAACAAAATGAAAAATTGTACGAAGTACCTCACAATATTTTATAACTTTAAACGTTTTTTAATTAGTTTTATAATTGAATATAGAATATTATTTATTTAATTTTTGCTGTTATCATTATAATTATTACAATTTTAAAAATATTAATTAGTAATCTATATTTAGTGTTGCCATTATTATATTTATAACCACATAGAAAAAATATAAAATATAATATTAATTATTTAAGCCACATAATTGTTCTATCTGTAATTTAAAAAAGTTAAAATTAATTAAGAATAATAATTTGAATTTATTTTGCTATTATTTAAAAAGACAATTTACTAAACAACATTATTACTATATACTTTTACAAATTAGAAATGAAAAATATTAATCTGAAATGCTATCATTTTGATCCACACAGTAAGAACTTACTACATCTACCTGTCTGTTATGTTTAGATTTATTATTTGATTTTATTATATTAATAATAGGATCCCATGACATAACGATATCTGGCGGGATAAAATGGCACAAATCATCCCAATTACAATATACTGAGGGCTATAGTGATCGTGACATCTGGCGGGAGAAAAAGGCAAAATTCTTCCATATTAGCGTCTCAAGTGTCCTCAAAAAAATGCACAATTTGAAACTGAATTGCACCTTTCTCAAATCTCTTTTGTTAATTGCTTTTCGAATGACAAAATTAATATGCACGTTGTTTTACTTAAAAAAGTACTTTATGTGGTCTGCGTAGGTTCGAATTTGTGTTTAGACAATTTGAACTTTTGATTTTTGAATTCATTCTTTAGTTTGATTTACCGTCACATGTCACCAATAGTGTTACCTTTTTGAAGAGATATTTGTAAGTAAATGTGTATCTATTTTGTGTTGTGTTTATACATATATATCACAAATTATATTGATATGCTACATATAATATATTAATATCAATGTATTTTGATTAAAAATTAAACCACAGATAATTAGCATTGGAGATGTCAAACCTTACTATTGTGTTCTGTCAATGTTGATTGTTGAATGTCAATTGTTATGTCATCCATGAATGTCATATAAACGATTTAGCGTGGATTTCTGTTTTTAGGTTAGGTTATTGTTTCATAAGTAAATATGGGGAAAGTAAGAAAACGTAAACAAAATAAAGGGTCAAACGATGTAGTTTCAAGCAATGTAGATGAAGAAGAATTGATTGTAGACTCCAAAGAAAATGCAATCCAAACAATAATTGATCAACTCCAGGTATAGTAAGCAGTACATAGATCTTACTTAAATTATTAGATCCCTAAATAATAATCATCATACTATTAATAATATTATAAATGTAAAATTGTGTTTGATTGTACTTCTTCGTATTGTTCGAAACAGAATTACGGATTGGCATGATTTTTTGTGAGAAGATACTTGGAAGACTGGAGAGTGACTTACGCAACTTAAAATATCTCATTCTCACGGGAAAACACGTTATAATATAAACCACAACAACTCATACCTATGTACATTCATAAAATACTAGCAAAAACCGCGGCTTCGTTCGCGCTAAAACTACAAAAATTCTCTAAAAAGGTGGGTTGCATACAAACATTCATCCCCTATTCTATCTCCCTTTTATTATGAATTTCGAAAAATGCTAAGACTCATGTTTATTTAATGTCATTGAAGAGCATTAATACCTAATTTCAAGTTCTGATCATTAATAATTCTGATGATGAAAAATTTCTGATGATTAATAATTCTTATGATCATTATAAATTCTGATCATTAATAATTTTTCTATTGTATTAAAACGTGTTTTCCTGTGGGAATTAGGTAATCTCCCTCGGTAAAAAGTAGGCTATGTCACTCTCCAGCCCTTCAACTATCTCCATACAAAAAATCGCGTCAATCCGTCACTCTTTCGACGTGAAAGAAGGACAAACAAACAAATACAATTTCACATTTATAATATTAGTAAGTATGGATATGGATATATACTCTATTTATTCCATACTAACTGTTAAAATATATGTAGACACAAACCCGAGCAAAGCGAGGACGAGTCGCTAGTTAAGTTTATAAATCTATTCTTTTCAGACAGCAAATGTTGAAGAAAAATATTGCGGTCTCCAAACATTTGCAATGTTGATAGAAAATCCTGAAACATTGGAGCAGATGATCAATCGTGGCTTGTTAAAAATAGTAGGACCTCTTTTAATTGATCAAGCTGCTCCAGTAAGAAATGCTGCTGCTGGTTCTCTCAGAAATGTTTCTGCTATTCATTCTGATTTATGTGATATATTAATGGAGCACGACATTATGACACCTTTAATATGCTACTTTCATCAGGTATATTTGAGTTAATTTTTCATATTAATATGAATTATATTTTTTACATGTATATATTAAAAGTAATTGTTATTTTAGTATACTGAATTCAGGACTCCGGACCCAAGCTCTAACACTACAGACGAAGATATTGATACTTTTATTCAATGTACAAATCTCCTATTAAATATCTGTGAAAGTTCAGGTATTACTATTTTTACTTTTGGTACTATTATTTTTGCTCTAAAAATACAGATATGGTATTGTTTAATTCTTTATCATTGTTAATACTTTAATATTTCAGGTTTGGCTGTAAAATATCTTGGAAACTCTAAAGTATTGGACTCTATTTTTCCAAGGTATTTAGACCTGCCGACTTTTGGGCCCGATGTAGTTACTGCTGTATTACAGTGTTTATTTGTTGTACTTGAAGAAAACCCTGTAGGGATTGCAAAAATAAAGACTTCCTCAGAACAACAGTTAAAAGAACTGTTATTTTTAGAAAGTAATGATCCATCAGCCTTATTAATTAAAACACTTGTTAGCGGAGTTATCATAAATATAACTGAAGCAAACATTGATACTCTACCCATAGATATAATGAATCAAATCCTGGGAACACTAGCTAAAACTTTGTCAGTTGATCATAGACTGGCTTCAAACCAACTATCAAGTAATGTGCCATTGGGTGATGCAGCAGGAAAGGTTGAAGTACCAAAAGGAAAAGAAGGTCTACAGCTGCAGAAGCAAATTAAGTCTGTTATGCAAATATTGGATGCACAGCAAAATGCACTTGAAATAATTGCCAATATCTGTTCTTGTGAAAGTAAGTGTTTTGATAATACTTTCTTAGATTATGCGAACATTTGACATTTTAAATAAAACTATCTTTTCGGATTATTTCGCGAATTTATTTTGATTTTTGGTTCCCGATGTTTATAGGTATATATCATATAATATATAGTCTATGTATTCCATACTTACTGTTAAAACATACCTAGGGACGAGCCAAAGCGAAGCGAGGGTGAGCTTCTAGTGTTCAATATATATCTTAATAGACTAATGTTCTTATTACATTTGCAGTTGAAGAGAGTACATCAGATGAGCCTGTGTCATCAGAGAGTGATGAAGCAGATGAAGAGATGTGTACTAGCAGTGCAGAAACACAAAGTAGTACACCTGAAGCAGTGCTCTCTGAAGATGTACTACCACCAGTTATATTGGAGGCCTTTATTTCTTTAGAGATATATGACAAAGTGTGGGCTCGTACACAAATGCCACCAGAAAATGTGCTTTTAATATTAAAAGAGTATGAAGGATCACAATTAATTTATAAAAAGTAAGCCAGTATTATATTTCTTTTGGCTTACATTAATTCCCATTGTATTGTTAATAGTTTGAAATCATTTTATTTTCAGATTAGTCAATCTTCAAACTAAAGCCTTACTTTGCATTAATAATTTACTATTATCTCTACCTTTAGAGAACCTTGGTGGTATAAATGGCGTTTATAAAATTTGGGTCGAGGCAGGAAAAATGGCATTCAAACAAAATTCAGAAAATTTAAATCTCTTAGAAGCAGCAACATCTGCCATGAGAGCTGGACTAGATAAAATAAAATTAAAAATCAATGAAAACTTAAGTGAAACTAACCTCTTTCATGAATTGGCTCTATCAGATATTGAGGCAAGTCTTTTTTATGTATGCATATATGTATGTATGATGTTAACTAGAGATGCGCAGAATATGGGTTCAACCGAATACGAACATTCGGCCGAATTATTCGGTTCATTTTTACGTAGTAAACGTGTTTTAAATACATGTCGGTATTTCTGATACCAGCGGTGCAGTAAATGTACAAAAACTAACTTTTCTTTGTTGGAAAACAAATGTTGATTTTAGTATATTAAAAACTGAATTTTGATGATTTTTAAAATATTAATGTTATTTTAATTTGTCAATAAATGATGGTTACGTAAGGTATTGCGTGTTTCATAGTATTCACATACTATGTATTTCTTAGTGTAAATCCTTCTTTAATTTTTAAAGTAATTATAAATGTTAACATAATACTATTAAAATATTCTGTAATTATGCCGCATTTTAACCGAATATTCGGCCGAATACGAACACAAAAAAAAGCGCCGAGCATGCCGAATACGAATATTTGACCGAACATTCGGCTTATCTCTATTTTTAACCAACATAAAAAGATGAGGAAGTTATTAACTAAAAGTATATTTTTGTAGGAGTTTGTTACACGATATTTTCACTAATTTACTATAGTATAACATTAAGTTGCGTTATAATTTTATAAGTATCATATAAATAAATAAAGATAAAAGTGATATCAATTATTACAGATTATGTTAACTGGAATACGAGAGTGCCAAGTGGCTGAGATACGGTCAAATCTTATCAGAATGATTGGAAGTTTAGCACTTTTGTTGGTTAGCAAATTGAATGACACCACAACAAATGTTATTTGCACGATTACTGAGTTCATACTAGATCAAGCGCACAAAGAAAATGAAGTATGGGTCTTAGCAGAAGCAATTGACACTTTAGTAGATTTATATGCTGAAGATGACACTGATGTGTTGGCGGTAAGAGTGAAACTCATGGATAAGTTAAAAATTTTGGCACCAATATTAAAGAACAAGGTAAATATTGTTTCATATATTTTAATTATTAGCTTTACAAAAGAAATTTGTTTGAACTTGTTATGAACAATAAAGTCTTATTTATTTAAATATTATATTTCTATTAAATTCTAATGTGACACTGTGTAGATATATTTGGGATGTTTATTACGCCATGACAAATAAACCATTGAATAGATGCAGTTTTTCACACATAGAACATGTCTTTGACTGATATAGGGAATTTAATATTCGGCAAATGTAACATGTAAAATCCATACTAATATTATAAATGTGAAAGTTCGTGAGGATGGATGGATGGATGTTTGTTACTCTTTTATATCACAACGGCTGAACGGATCTGGATGAAATTTGGCACAGATATAGATTATAGTCTGGAGTAGCATATAAGTTACTTTATATCCTGGAAAAATTTATGGTCCCTTTGGAATAGATTTGTTTTTGTCTAGAGACGAACCCGACGCGAAGCGAGAGTGAGTCTAGTATTTCATATGTAGGATGATACAACAACTTATTTTAAGCTTACAATCAGATAGGCAAGAAAAAATAAGAAAACACTTTTCACTATATTCCTAACAGAATTATATACAACATCACTGTTTATTCTTAGGGTTCAATATCACCTATCTTTGTATTTTGTCACTCAAAAGTTAGGACATGGCCCATGTCCTATAGTCCGATGTTCATGTTCAACGTGGGACTCTTCAATGAGTTCTCCTTATAAGTGTCAATTAATAAATAACTACTGACCATCGATCAAAAAAGTAATAGATACACAATCCCAAGTACATACTACTAAAAAAAAAGTACTAGATGCAAAAGTTCTCTTAAAACTGTCACCAATTAATTGTGTTTCGGTAATTATTTTGGTTGAAATAAATATACAACAATGTAAATCGAACCTTAAATGCAATGCTTAAAGTTGTTTTCACAAAAAACAAAGCATCCTTAAATGTTCAAATGAGTGCTCATTTGGTGAAGACATTTTTTGTCACTGATTGTGCATCTAGTACTCTATTGATCGATGCTACTGACTCAATAAATATTTATTTTATTTCAGGCACGACAGCAAAATAAACTTCCAAAAGAATATAGAGTGTTGGTGAATACTGCTACTTCAAATTTGCCAAGATTTATAAAATATAAAAAGCAACGACTTGCTGCTCTAAAGTAATATAAGTTATAAATTAATCATAGTGAATCTATGTATATTGTTTTTATTTACAAATTATTAATTAATAAAGATTTATCCTTAAAAATAGTCTAAATAATTTTATTTAATATAAAAAACTGCCATATTTTATGCATGTAACTTAACGTCTTAGTGATGGGACATTATTGGTATGATAGATGATAAATATTCATCATATAGGAATTACCTATGGTACGTTATTTAATTTTTTGTTTTTAATTTAAGAATAAAAAACAAAGTACGTACCGACCATACGGACAGGAGGACATAATCAGATATTTTTCTTCATACAAAACAAATCAATGATTTACACGAAACTATTACCTATTAGTAGTGTTAATCATTAACATATTTAACGATTCAGTGCAGTATAATCTCACATTTTCTTGGGAAAATGTTAAATTTAGTTCGAGAGCAAGTCGCTCGTCTGTATTTATTATAAAACATAGTCGCTGCCTGTCGAAAGAGCGATAAACAAAGAAGATGTGCTTATATTAATTTGTAAATATTTTGTACAAAATATTTGAATTATGATTTATTATGGTTCAAAGTCCGTGATTTTGTGAATTATTTTTATCTATTGAAAACGTACTGAGGGACGCACCCGAAAGAAGCGATAGGAAGCCGGTAGTTTCCCATAAATTGATATTTTTTTTAATATCAATAATCAATTATTTTATATATATATATATATATATATATATATATATATATATATTTCTTGTAACTTTGCTCGTTGTTTAAATCCTCCAGGTATATATGTTTTAATTAGTCCCAGAGACTAATGCATTCAAAACCAATAAAAAAACGGTTTTTGTTATATGTGATGTTCTCCTAGCCGATTCCGGCCACGGCGGCCAATCTCATTGAGACTAGCCAACTGCGCAGGAGATATTATAGTGCACAAGTGTACGCGCAGACACAACGTGCATTCTCTATTCCTGTCACTCTCATTACTCCGGTGGGACGACTGCTCGACACGACCAGTGAGAGTTAAGGCGCAGGACCGACAGCTTTTACGTGCTCTCCGAGGCACGGGGGTGAAACACCGCCAACTTCCCAACTCCGGGCTGTTACTGAGACTTACTAGGTACTTAAAAGACTTAAAAATCTGTGCAGCTATATTTAGATATATATATTTTTTAATTATAAAAATAAAAAGTGCAATCTGCTGCTCCACCATCGTACACAAATTAATAATAGCCAGTTATAATAAATTATAGTTTATTAATCAACAGATTGCAAATATATAGTAAATTATAAACATGCCCATAAATTTCTAATACCTACAAATATAAATAAATAACTTAAACATTGCACACATTCTAGGAAATCGCTATTCTAAGTAGGTATTACTGATAGCATTATATTATTGTGAAGTTTAAATAAAACATACGCTATTTTACTTTTACTCGTAATGTATATTTTATGATATCTGAAGTTGTCTACTTCATTTTATTATAGAAAATTTTAATATGTCAATATTGATTTAATGCTACCAGAATATAATAATTAAATTAAGATAGCGTCGTAAATTAAAGTGATGCATATGAAAAGTTATCACAATTTATTGTTTCTTATATTTTAGTTCTATTATATGGCAAAATAATTTTGGAGTAGGTAACATTTTGTTATACGTATGTATAAAAATAAATGGATATAAAATTACGAAGGCACATACATTATATATCACTATTTTTTATTATATCGTAGATTTATGAATGTTGAAGTCACAGAAAATACTATTTAAATTATTTAATGTGAAGATGAAATGGATAGCTATTAGCCATTAGGTAATATTTTTATATTGAATATCAAATATTTGACAATCATGCAAGTGTGCCAGATATCCGGTGTATATTATGTATATTATATAGAATATATTTACTTATACAAATGAATAATAAATATTTCATTAATAACAAGCTTAACGCAATTCCATGTGAAATCGGTTGCCATGAAGATTTGAGTTTTTGAATGAATTTTGATTTAATCTATTCAAAATTTGATGTAATTTCACATAGGTTTTATGAAATATCATAATTATTTATTGAATGTCCGGTATATGCCGGATATTGAACTTAAAATGCATTATCTAATCAGATTGTAAAAACATAAACGGACAGAAATAGACTAATAATAACTAATAACAACATTTCATCTCTAATATTTGTAAATATTTTCATAGACAAATATGGATCGAGATCCCACTGCAAGATTACTACGTTCATAGCGTATTTAATTGAAATATTTTTTTATATACAATCATAAAAGGAACAATATGTTTTGACCGGGGTGTCTGTTCAAATGTGCCCGCTAGTATGTTTAATTACTAATTAATAGTTGACTTTTTGGAATAAAAACGATGCATTTGTTATTACAATGAATTATACTCCACTTCACAGAACTATACGTAGAGATCTTGAAAAATGATAGCTGCCGTTGCGCATTTGGCCGCAATCTCTTGGCAGCCAGGTATAAGCGGGTCATATTTTGGTATGTTTATGCGTTCATAGCGTACATGCATCATTTATATATCAAATTAAAGCTAATTTTTTTCTGTGCATGATAAAATACCTCTCACCTATGTAAAAAAGGCCGCAATGGAAAGAAAAGTAGGAAAGAATATAATATTATATGTCATTTGTCAGACAATAACAACGGTTACCGTGGCAAAGATAGATTAAAGTGAAAGAGAGTTAGCGCGTTAGTTATCTGTTTGTTGTTGTTGTTAGATTTAATTTGATATATAAATGATGAATATACGCCATGAACGTATAAATGTAACAAAAACATTTTTAATGACTCGCAACCACTTTTGCGGTCACTTTTACATAGGCAGACGTAGTTTATCAAGTACAGAAAAAATAGCTTTAATTTGATATATGATGCATGTACGCTATGAACGCATAAACATACCAAAATATGATCTGCTTATACCTGGCTGCGAAGAGGTTGCGGCCAAATATGCAACGGCAGCTATCATTTTTCAAGATCTCTACGTATAGTTCTGTGAAGTGGAGCATACATAATTCATTGTAATAACAAATGCATCGTTTTTATTCCAAAAAGTCAACTATTATTTAGTTAATTAAACATACTAGCGGGCACATTTGAACAGACACCCCGGTCAAAACATATTGTCCCTTTTATTATTGTATATAAAAATTGATTTCGATTAAATGCGCAATGAACGTAGCAATCTTGCAGTGGGATCTTAGTCCAATATATGCATCATATTAAGAAATAGATGATCTAAGTAATAGGCAGGCAAAAGTATAAATTTAACATTACATAATGTAAATTTTTGGTTCTGTACAATTTACAAATATTTTAAAATATATTTGTTCAAATCTTCTATTACTACTTTTCCAATGCAATAATTAATAAATATTTGAGATCCCAATATATCAATGACTTTTAATTTTGTTACAAAGATTTTTTTTTATTACAATTAAAAAATGATAATAATAACTTTTTAAATATATGATTTCTACTACCCAAGAAAAGGCGCTAATCGCAACATTTTCAAAACTTTATATAATAAATCTTATTATCAATTAATAAATTAAGAGACTTGATAATATTTTAGGCAATTAAAAGGAGAAACTACAGAATATACTACAGAATATGAAATTATTTTTTGTAAATTGGTTCGTTGCGTATACTTATCTTCTCCAACATAAGTAAAATTCTAAAATATTTGTGGTTATATGAATTTTTATTATGTCTGTATATTTCCGTTTGCAGGAGAGCCAGATTCACCGTAGTGACTTCTCCTGGGTTTTGGTATTGGGTTTGGCGAATTAGCGCCATTCCTATCAAATTTCTGTCTTATTTCGGACACAGAAAGTCGACCGTTATCAAAACTTAGATCATCTTCTATCAGTGCCGTGTTAAGCTTATTTATTTCTCTTTCCAGCTCTCTAGTTGCTTTATCGATTTCTTGAAAATCTTTTTCAGTGCTTGATATGGAATTGTCAATGCTTTCTTTTCTCGCGTCGTCGTATACTTTACAAACAACTTTTTGAGGCTCTTCGTTCCTATTGATATCCACATTGTGTTGGTTTAAATTTATGTCACAAGCTATGTAGCTACCATCTAGGGTGCTTGTTAAACTTTTACTCCTTTTATTCGATAGTGAGTGGAAGTCTTCTAGATTCCCTCGTCGAAGTCTTATATCATCCTCATTTACGCTAGAGTTTCTTCTATACTTAATTATATCTATTTTAGGAAAGGATAAATCAGAAGCAATGTCTTTTGTTGATTTTGACCTGACTTCCACTGTGTCGTCAATATGTGTTCGATTTTCGCTATTATCATCTAAATCTTTGGTGTCTCCCTCATCTGAATTTAGCTTTCGTTGATTTTCGTCAAGTTTTTCCGATTGAAGCTTTTCAGGACTTGAATCTTTTTTAATATTACTGTTTTCTTCATCTTCAACGATTTTTAATTCGACCTTTATATTTATATCATCAATATCATCGTCAACAGTTACGTTTAAGGTCTTGCTGTCATCTGGTTCTGTAATGTGCAGTTCTGCTTGCGGTACGTTGGTTACCTGAAAAATTGTAATTATTTCTTAACGTATATTTATCTAAATAGAAATAAATAATAGGACAAATTTTGGGGACATATTGATTGATAATCATGAAAAATATCTTACTGAGTCGTCAGCAGTTGTAACAGAAGGCGGTGGCGGAGCACGTTTTTTCTTGCGACGTGAAGCCCGTATGGGTGGTATCGGCGCTTCATCAAATGGGTTAGTGCTCTCCACGCTCAGCCTTGATCCCGTTATATCGCTACGAGCCATGCGGGGGGTGGCACTGAAAATATTGTAATTTGCTTCAATTAACCGGCGCATCGCTTAGTATTATTAATTGCAATTAATGCGATATCGATCTGTTTTCTATACATATAATAAGATTCTAACTGAATCGAATCTTTACATTAAATATTTTTTGAAAAATCTTATTGAAATAAGTCATTATTATCGATACAGAGGTCGATTCTATAGTTTTAGAAAATTTGTCTGTCTGTCTGTATGTCCGTCCGTCTGTCTGTATGTCCTTCCGTCTGTCTGTATGTCCGTCCGTCTGTCTATCTGAATTTTGATGAAATTTAGTATGATTATAGCTGGTTATCCGGGTCAACGTATATATGATACTTTTTACTGCGAAAAAATATCTCATCTCTGAGAAATCTATACTAAACGTTAAAGCGTAACTTAGGGACGAACCAGTGCGGAGCAAGTCTATGTCGCTAGTATAATATAAAGAAAGACATTGAGACACATTTTTGTTATTGCAAAGGTACCGTAGGTACATAAAGTGCTTGGGACATCAATTTGTAACAAATGTAAAAGTAAATTGAAATAAATTTATTAATGGGCAATAAAGCATTTAAATAAATATCCTAATGTCTTTAGTATAATTAACCTACCTAATACCTATGTTCGTATATGAGTCGACATTTTACATAAGTTTGTTTGCCAAAACAATGCACAAAATTATTTAAGGATTTTATCCAAATGTGTCAACTATTGTTTATTTTTATATGTTTCTAAATGTGATTAACAAATAACAACTGTGTGAAACCGAGTATTTAAATACATATCTTTAGGTATTGTGCAGGTTAACGGCCTATTAGTAGGCATGCGTTAATTTGATTTTAATAGATATCTTTTTAAATATTAGCAATTAGGCTCGGTAATCTTTAACGTAATATGCAATGCGCAGTTCGTACCTGCGATAGTTATAATAGTAGGTAGGTACCTACAGTTGTAGTGGTAGAGTACAGTTTTATTTCCATTTAAATTACACGATCGACCCTATAGGCTATACAGATTTACATACAAACAATAACTTAAGTTTTATCCTCATTAATGACATATTAGCCTTTTTCTTTTTACCTAAGCGAATTGACTTCTAGTTGAGAGCTGCGCAAGCGTTCTTGGAATCGCGAGCGCGGTAATGGAGTAACGGAGCCACCGTACACGTAGCGGTCAGCACGCTCAGGTGACCCCACTGTGCTGCGAGTGCCGGACGCTGATGAGTCTGCGAATTTACATGAATAATAATGATTTATAATTATTATTGCAAGTAAGACTTACTATTTACTTAATTACATTTATTTCTATTTAGTTATTTCTCTTTCATACATAAAGTAAGATATTATTGTATGTGGGAGCTCATTATAAGAAAATTAATAATATAACGAATATCAAGATAGAAGCAGACAGACAAACACGTTTAATCTTAGAATAAAATACCCGTTTATTCATGTCAACTAAGTAGCTGTAGATACTACCAACTATCCAATACCTATCTACCTACTACCCAATGTCTGTTTGCCGATATGGCGCAAAAATTCCAAGCAAGGTGTTAGAACATCCTACCTCCTATCCTATTATATGTTCATATGTATATTTAGGACATTAATGAATTACTTATGGAGTAGTCATTATGCTAATGTGGGCCGGTATTTGCATTGTACTTCAGTCGAAACCGCCACTCAGGAATATTCTGCCAAAATGTTCTGAATACGAAAATTTACTTTCCATTTCGCATATCTCACCAGTAGCGGATTTAGGTTCGATGGCACCCTAGGCCCAAGTCGATATGGCGGCCTTTTTCGTTCGTAACAAAATATAATAATAGATTATTTTAACAAAGAAATTCTACCCTGGTAGTATAATACCTACGTACTATATTTAGATTGTAAGGGCGCAAGAAAATAAACTTTAAAATTTGGTCTTACAGTTTACAGAAAACCCAATCGATTTTAATTTTAGTCGTTATAAAAATTTTTGCTCCCCTCAAAATTTGCCGCCATAGGCCCGGGCCTCACGGACTTATGCCTAAATTCGCTACTGTATCTCATACAATTCAACTTTAAGCTTTATATTATTGCATAAAAATACAAAAATCTTTAAGACCTTACTACATACATGTTTTTATTAAAATAATTGTTATTAGTAAAGATATAAATTTAAAAGTATATCTTACATTGCAAAGCTCGTCGGTACACAACAGGACTGCTGTCTCCATTGATTTGGGTACTAGTTCTATTACTTTTAGAGGACTGCTCACCTTTCTTTCCTTTTCTCATAAAAGAGCGTAAAGACCTGAAATATAATTTATATTAAATTAAAACAAGTCGTAATAATATTTTTCAAAGTTTTAACTGATACGATCAAATTATATTAAAAGAAAAACAAATATAGATATAATACATCGGCAGAAATAATAATATACACCCAGGCCATAATACGTTCTATATATCGCACACCTAGATAAAGAGTAGCACAACTCCAAATAATCCAAATTCGAGTTATGACTCGAATCGAGGTATCATAGGAGTCTGCGTTAAGAACTACATACACTCCTGATGATTTTGTCGTGATTAATATATAATTTAACACGAAAAAATAAAACTATTTTTGGAATTGTTGGTGTTTAATATAGGTATAGTTGGTTAGTTGATGTTCCAAATAAATATCTTTAAGTGTTTGATAATGAGTTGGTTACAAGTGATACTGCTATTTGATGACAAGCCATCAAATAAATATCTTCGTAAAACTATGTACAAGAACACATAAGATTATTTTTAATATATGAAATAGAAAAACAGCAAAACGTTTTATTCTATTCCTGAAAAAAATGATATTTTGACTTGTGCTACTTTTTATCTAGCTGTGCGATATATTCTTTAGTTCTAACATCAAATAATACTACAATTAGGCGCCCTGATATTCTAATGTAGGTGGATAATGACACTATTGTATATTTGGGAGTCCGGTCATTGTTGTACATGAACCCGCACAAGGATCTGCGGTAACCGGATGTCTGTAGGCGCAATGGCCACTGACAAAAGTAATGTTTCGTGCACTTGATTCCACTTGAACGGTCACAGTTGTGCTGCGACGGTTTCTCTCACGCCCACCTTACCTACATACTGATACTCGTAATTGGTAGATTTTGTATATTTTTTTTCAAATATTTCATTACCAAATTCAAGAAAGCATTTGAATGAATGATTCTTTTTATACTTAATACTGAACATTTCATTGGAATGTCATGTATCTATCTATAATATGTAATAGCTCTTCGTTTTTCCAAAATATGGTTTTTGACTAAGATGAGTTAAATATATTATGTAGAGATAATATTAGGACATACATATTTTTATGTTATCTGTTGCCTGTAGGAAAGTACGTAATATACTCGTATATGTATTATAGCAGCATAATGGAATTGTAATTTCTTCTTCGAACAAACATAGAACACCTAATGATCAACCTACATCATGCAGGCGAATGTTAGGCGAACATCGAGCGGACTATTTGTAAACAAGCTAAACTGCACGCATATGTTTGACATTAAATCTTCTAGGTCGAGTAGATAAAACGAGATTTGACCCGTTCTTGAACCGGCAATATTTACCCTTGTGTCTCAGAGTCATCTTGTGATAATTTTAGTGACTAAATGAACTCACTTACTTTAATAATAATTCTATCATGCTTTTTAACCGAATTTCAAACAAGAAGACTAACATTTGACCGGTATCCTTAGGTAGGTTCACCGATTACACTAAGATCTCTAGACCAATTTGAGTTAGTTTTAAAATTGAAAATGTACGGGTGCTCACGCAGTTGTCAAATATAGTATGTATACGAATATGGTGAAGATCTGATGATGAGATCCGTATTTGACCGAATAGATTTCCTGAATGAGTGTATGATTGAAAATGTTTGATATTGTGAGTTGTGACTTGGCAAAACTACACCACCGACCAAGATATGTTCTGGATGTGAATAATGGAATGCAGTTTCATCCTATTTAATTTAAAGATAAATAAACAAAAAATATATATATTGGTCAAAATGTTTCAGTCTCAAAAAAATAGTTTTAGTCATTTCTATCTAGAAAAATCGCTGAAATTGTCTCACGTAACTAATGGATACCCCCTTTACAACGAGTATGGCGTTAAGGTCGACAATTAACGAGTAGATTTTTTCTTATTTATTACAGTAATATCAACTTAGCTATTCATTACTAAAAAGAAAAATGTAAATCCACTAATTTTTGTATAAATATACTCGAACGTATCATGCGGTTAGTACCTATTGTGGTAAGAACAGAAGAAAAACGATTAAATTACTAATATAATTAGAGATTATTAATATTAATTATATTTCCTTGTTTTTTTTTTGATAATAAGTACTTATTTATTAAGATATACAGCCAAATTTTAATCTGAATTAAAAGATTTGCATTAGGTAGGTATACATACCTACGCTAACATCATTCGAGGTTACGACCTTCGAAATATAGGTGATGTTAATGAACGCCCGATGCTCTAAACAAACAATGATGCTCATTCTCATGACCCACATTGCCTTTGCATTCTTATATTTATCAAATTTTTAAGATGATTCATTTTTAGTATCTTTAATCAGGGGTGACAATTTTTTAAATAAAGGAAGCTTAATAAATAAACGTTGTTTTCCTTAACTCTTTTTCTTTCAGATCTTAACGTGCCAGAAGAATTATCTCTATAAATTAATGAAAAGTGCGGCATGCTAGTTGTACTGTAATACTATCAAACATTTTATAAGGTGCCTGTTCCTATACGTATTTATGATAAGACTAAAAATACGCGCAAATAAAATAAAATACCATTAGGTAGGTACACCAGACTGATGAAAATTTATTTATTTTTAGTTCTACAGACATTGAAGATTAGCAGCTAAAATGATGATATATGATCTAATGTAATGAACATCGGACTTAAAATAATTCTTTAATACGAATTGTACGTGGGCAGTATTTACCACTAATTTAAATCCAAAAAGATAAGAAAGAATAGCCGAAGTTATTTTTAAAAATATATTTGATACTTTTAAATATATTGTAAAAATACATTTTTAAAAATATATTTAAAAATAAATTTGAAAACATATCTTTAAATATTCAAAAGTTAAATTATTTGTTTTATCAGTTTAAAATTTAATTTCGTTTATATCGGAACAACACACGTCGCAGAGCGCACATGATCGATAATCAACATCTATTTTTCTCTAAAAGTATGTATATTGTAGATACCTTCGAAAAATGAAAATTTACAATAACAATAAAGCAAAGAAAATTTTAATTTTTTTTTGTGTGTAATGTGTTGTATAAACATATGGTTTATACTTGCCGCGAGTTTTGCTACGTGTATGTAATGTAAGTAGATATGTCTCCGACTGCATAATAGGTGCTATATTCATTGGAATCATAATATTAGGTATTTATCCTTTTTTACAAGTCCGTTTATTTATAATATTTTTTTGGTGATATAAAAAGTAATTAGACTCGAACTGATTGAAGCAATAACAATACCGTTTAAAAGAATATTAGAAATTCTTTAGATGACTCAACTGTCTACGAAATCCAACTTTCCATTTTGTCTATTAACTGATATGATTCCATGAAGCAATATTTAAAATAATCTAATTGTTACAGTTATTAGCGTCGCTTTCTTTATTATGTCATTTCATTATTGTAACAAAATTTTCACAATTTATTAAATGTTACAATAACTCTTAATAAATTGTGAAAATTTTGTTCGTTTAGAAATATCTTTAAAATTTTATCTATGTTATGGAGCATGTGTATCTAATTAGAGGACAATCAGCATCTTGTGATGTGACTTCCACTCAGCTTTCACTTAACTCATATGTGGGCTATGTTTATTATACATATTATATGTAATTAGCGGCTCACCCTCGATTCGCTCGGGTTCGCCTCTACAAAACGAAAACAAATCTATCCCACAGGAACCGTACATTTTTCCGGGATAAAAAGTATCCCATGTGCTATTCTGTGTGAGATATATTATTATAAAGTTTTATTAAAATTAATTCAGTAGTTTTTGGTTGAAAGAGTAACAAACATCCATACATCTATACATCCAGACACCTATTCATCCTCACAAACTTTCGCATTTATAATATTAGTTGGATATGTAAGTACCTATATGTTGAGTTTATTTAGCTAGTTCTTTTTACGGGCTTTTTCTTTTCATACTTGACGTTCAGTAAAAAAATGTAATAATATTTATGCCGATTGAAATATTTTATATTTGAATAACAAAGATCCATTTTATTCTAATAATATTTTTATACAAAACAGCCTTACAAATAACGTATTTTTCGTTAATTTAACATACAATTAATATACAGTGATAAAGTATTTGTTAGTCATTGATATTATTTTTACGTACCTATTATCATTAATTCTTTTAAAACTTTGAAAATGTATTTACTATAAAATAAATATTTTGGCTAGTGATGAATATAATTTGTAATATGTACATGATACTTAGAATGTATACCTACATGTTTTCTTACATTCATGAATGCATACATGCAACATTAATAACGTATTGAAACACAGACAGATATAATAAGTATTATTTGCATAATTTCTTGAGACTGTTTATTGATATGAAACTTTAGGTAATACTGGAAACTACTATATTTCATAATATGAGAGTGTGAAAGTGTACGGCTGTACAACCTGTATACAGGATCATTTTAAATTTACTGAAAACCTTTAGGGAATACACTATTTACAACATAACAACAACAACTGTAAGAAAAAATATATATATTAAATTTAACAAAAATATTTTTATTGCACCTTCTCAACGGTAATAGTCCAGCATTAGTAAAAGAAAGTGCGTGTCCGGTGGAGGGGGAGGGGTGGAGGGGTGTAGGAAGCCGCGCTTACTCATTTGAAGAAGTTTAGAAGGTGCAAAAAAAATATTTTTATTTTTGTATAAAAATAAAATATGTGTCAATACATTATTAATATTATGTATGTACAAGATACCTACATTTTGCGCGAAACGAGAGATAAATTTAAGTATTGAAGACTTGAAGTTATACTTCTTTTGGCAAGTTTGGAAAAAAATATTAGAGTAAAATTTTTACGATGCGCGCGCACCCGACAGCCAAAAAGCGACATGATGAAGTTAGCTGCATTCCTTTTACAAACAGAGAGTTGTGTCATACGGGATGAAATCTTTAGCTACTTTTGTTCTGTAACGCCAAAGAAGTATAACTTCTTACGTGCGTAC